ATTTTTGCTTCAGTTCCCCCAGAATGAGAAATGCTGAGCGTGTTCTTCCTTTTTGGTTTTCTGATTCCAGATCTTTGCACATTTTGTTGTAGTATTTGGCTTTATCTTCTCAAGATGATCTTTGAAATCTTCTGTTCAGCTCTTGGACCTCCTCATTTCTTCCATTTACTTTAGCATCTCTACGCTGGAAAGCAAGTTTCATTGTATCTTCTAACATCCATTTTGACATTTTCCTTCTTTCTTGTCTTCTCAGTGACTTTTTGCTTTCTTCATGTATGATGTTCTTGATGTCATCCCACATCTCTTCTGGTCTTCGGTCTTTAGTTTTTAATGTATCAAATCTGTTCTTCAGAAGATCTCTAAATTCAGGTGGGATATATTCAAGGTCATATTTTGCCTCTCGTGGACTTGTTTTAATTTTCTTCAGCTTCAGTTTGAATTTGCGTATGAGTAATTGATGGTCTCTTCCACAGTCTGCCCCTTGCCTTGTTTTCACTGATGATGTGGAGCTTTTCCATCATATCTTTCTGCAGATGTAGTCAGTTTGATTTCTGTGTATCCCATCTGGTGAGGGCCATGTGTATAGTTGTCTCTTATGCTGTCTAAAGAAGGTATTTGAAATGAAATATGGTTTTGCAGAATTTTATCATACATTCTCCAGCATTATTTCTATCACCAAGGCCATATTTTCCAACTACTGATTTTTCCTCTTTGCTCCCAACCTTTGCATTCCAATCACCAGTAATGAGCAATACATCTTGATTGCATGTTTGATCGATTTTAGATCGAAGAAGTTGGTAGAATTCTTCTATTTCATCTTCACTGGCTTTAGTGGTTGGTGCATAAATTTGAATAATAGTGGTATTAACTGGGCTTCCTTGTAGGCGCATGGATATTATCCTATCATAGACAGTGTTGTACCTCATGACTGATCTGGATATGTTCTTTTTGACGATGCATGCAACACCCTTCCTCTTCAATTTGTCATTCCTGGCATAGTAAACCATGTGGTTGTCAGATTCATAATGGCCAATACCATTCCATTTCTTAATTCCTAGGATATCTGTGTTTATGCATTCCATTTCATTTTTGACAACTTCCAGTGTTCCCAGATTCATACTTTACATTCCATGTTCCAATTTTCAATGGATGTTTACAGCTGTTTCTCTTCATTTTGAGTTGTGCCCCATCATCAAATGAAGGTTCCATCGGCTTTTCTCCCATGGGCTTTACTCCAATCGCGTCATCACGGTCAAGTCTACTTTGAGGAAGCAGTTCTTCCTCGGTCGCATTTTGAGTTCCTTCCAACCTGAGGGGCTCATTTTCTGGCAGCATATCTGACAGTGTTTCTCTGCTATTCATAAAGTTTTATTGCCTAAATATTTGGAAGTAGTTTGTCACTCTTTCTTCCTAGCCTATCTTTGTCTGGAAACTCATCTGAAACCTTCCATTATGGGTGACCCTGCTGGTATTTAAAATACCGGTGGCATAGCTTTCAGAATCACAGCAACTCACAATCCACCACAGTACGACAAACTGATAGACGAGTGGTGGTCTGCCCTGTTACAATGCTCTTAAAAGAGACAGACTTTGAATGTCCAAAGGGCATTCTGTAAGCCAGCCTCCTGCCCATAGGTACTCAGCTTTACTCAGTCCATGAGCCTAACAGCCCACAACTACTTTGTCTCTCGATGCTGTTGCCTCTGCCACCACCTATACTGTTGTTCCTTTCCTGGGTAGGAATCTTATGTTCGACTCATTCTCTTTTTTTCTTGATAGTCTTGGAATTGTCTGTTCTTGCTTCTGAGATGGCGCTTTTAAACCTAGCAGGATGACAAAGCTAACTTATCCCAGTGTTAAAAGTCCCATATACCCTATTTGCTTGGTCCCATCAAATCATTTGGTAGGAATAAAGAAGACATTGGATAGAAAACCGTATTAAATAAATTCAAGGTACTGCAGGGGTAAGTGTACATGTATTAAGTGTGAAAACATCAATCACTTCAGCCTTTAGTAGTGGACAAAAAAGAGATGCAAAAAGGCAAACTGAAAGAAGACCCAATAGTGCTTTTGTTTATGTCTGATAGCCTTTACACTTACTTTCTCACTTCACAAGATGTTAATTCCCGGGATTTTGTGTTTATCTCAAAAATTAAAACTAACCACACAGAGACATATAGTAACACATTATATACCAATCATACTTACTACTGTATATTTTACTGTATGTTGTTTGTTGTTAAGTACTGTCGAGTCGGTTATGACTCATAGTGACCCCATAAAGGATTTCCGAGGAGCAGCTGATGAGTTTGAACTGCCAACCTTGAGGTTCAGACTGACCTTGTGGTGTAGTGCATTATCCTGCAGGTCCTTGTTAGAAAGGAAGCTCCACAAGGGCAGGAATTTTTTCTGATTTTTTTTTTTTTTTAACTGCATCCTGTGTCTAGAGCAGTAGTTGACACATAGTAAGTGCTCAGTAAGTATTTGATTAAATGAATGGTCTAGGAGGTGGTAGATGTACCAAGTAACATTGCAGTTATAGCTAATTAAAATTCAGTATCTACTTATGACTCAGGATCTACCTATGATACACTTAAACATAAGCATTCACTACTATTATTTTGATTCTGTTTTCATTCTAAAAATTTTTAAGTGCTGCTAATTTTATAACTTATCAAGTATATCTTCTCTGATTTCAGCCAGCAGTATCTGTTGGAAATGTTGGCCAGCTTGCAGTAGATCTGATTATCTCCACACTGAATATGTTTAAGGTCGGTTACTTCTATACGGATTGTCTTGTGCCAATGGTTGGAAACAATCCATATGCAACCACAGAAGAAAACTCAACAGAACTCTGTATAAATGCTGAGGGTATGTACAACTTCAACATGTTTTTTCCTACTGCAAAGTTGTTTTAAGTTAGGAATAGACTCACAGATAATACTTTGAAGCAAACATTTACTTAATGCTATCTTGGTGCAGTTACAGTGTATGACCACCCATTCATATTTTCCTGTTCTCTTAACTCTAGGCTTTAGGTCCTAGCCTTTTTTCCTAAATGGCAGCTCTGAAGGATTTAATTGTACTTGTATCTTTAGATAGAATTGAAAGCTTGCTTTTTCTTTCTTGTTCCCAACATGAATTTTTCCCTCTTTTGTCACAGCTTTATTTTTTATGTAATCATCACTAATATGAAGGAAATAGGGAAAGGAGATTTCCACTGGACTCAGTCCTAATGCTTAATATGTAGTTACTCACAGTTATCCTATTATACTGTTACAGATTCCATAATAAGTTGATTGCTTGGTAAGGCTCAGAGAGTGAGTTGCCAAATGCCACTCAGGGTGATCTTTTCCCTTAGCACATTAGATATGTCAGGCTTGATTAATTAGGGAACACAGTTTATATTGCACTAATACTATATGAAACAGCACTATGTGAGTGGATCATGAAGCACTGGTATTCAGTTTACTTGGATGGCTAATTACTTTCTTGGCCTCTTAGTCTTCTGCTTACCATTTTAGGGTTAAAGCCCAAGCTGATAGAGGAGCCTGAGAGATCTGTGTGGACTGAAGGACAGATGAAGAAGCATTTGAGTTTTTTATCAGTCTTATTATTATTAACCATGTCATTATTGTTAGTTTGTAATAAGAAAATGCATTTTGAGAAATAACTTTATTATTGAAATTCCTGCAGGAAAAATTACTTTGTTAACATGAGACTGGATTTCAGTTATTATATTAAAGAGTAAAGGACTATAAGTGGTAGAACTAGAATTTAATGTGTTTCACTAATGCTAAAAGCTGTTTATTGAGAATTTACTAGTCAGCACTCAGGAGAAAGATGAGGCTTTGTAATCCCATAAAGATTTACTGGGCTATTATAAGTCGAAAGAACAGTAGCATTATACACTGATGTAGAATTTAGGTTGCAGATAGTCTCCTACTTAAAATGTATTTGAGTTACAGCAAATTGCACTTAACTATCTGGTGTGTGTGTGTATGTATGTGCGTGGTTTCTGCATTTTATCATTAGTGATTAGTACTGTTTATAATGTTGCAGTGTGTAATTGTTGATGTTCTCATTCTCAGATGTTCAGTGTTATTTTTTATAAAAAAACTGATAATAAAAGGCAGCAATAATGGGAGGTTTGCATATTCTATTTACAACTGAACTGACTTCCATAGAGTCATTTGACTAGAGCCCTGTCCTATGTATGTCAGGAACTGCCTGTAATGCTATTATACATGATGGTATATCTTACGTTTTAAAGCTTAGCCTACTCACACCCCTACAAATGTATACTTTTCTCACCTCAGTTGACTTGAACTATATGTGTACGTTATAAATTAAACTAGCAGTGAAATGGCCTAGGGTCTTAGCCCCTTTTCCCTAAATTTATGCCCTTTTCCCTAATTCCTAACCTCCTGCTATAGCCTCCTTTACCCTGAATACACTGATGCTCACTAGACTTGCCAAGTGCAGCACAGTTCTCAGCCTTACCAAGCCAGCCTCAGAGAGACAGTCTTCAAAATACTTGTAACCAAGAAAGACATGATCCACCAGAGGATTGGTCTCAGTCTGTTGTTTGCAACCTTTTAATAGTAACTAGGAGCTTACCCCCTAGTACAGCAGTCTAACCCTGTGCCCTCAGAGGCCGTTTTCCCCTTAATACATATCAGAATTTCTCGTTCTTAGAAATTAGAACCTCAGCATCTCTGGAGTGTGGGCCCCTTGAAGAACCTGATGAAAATACTGGATCCTGTTCCTGTAAAAAGTGCACACATTGGCACTCAGAAAATTTTGCATATTATTCCAGATCTCTCAAAAACTCCTTAAGACTATAAATGTACATGTCCAAGGATTTTCTAATATGGCTAACATTCTCCCACACTTTATTCTTCCTTCTCAGTCCCAATGAGTGTTACTGCCTTTCAGAGATAAGAGAAGAGAGTATCAGAAAAGACCTAGCAGAAACCAAAACATATACTTTCAGCTAAACAAAGTCATCATTCTTAATTTACTTTTCAGAAATGAATCTATTTCATAGACAAAAGTCTTTTGGCACATGTTAAGGTTCTATTAAAATGTTTTATTTTGACAAGATAATATAGTGTATCTGTGCTATATTTTTAAAAATATTTACATGCAAAGTTCTTATACTTCAATTTTAATTTTTTATCATATTAATTTTAACTTGTGTAACTCATTTTTCCTATAATATGATTTCATTTTCTTCTTATCTTTATAGTATACTTGTTACCTTCAAGGAAGCTAGTGGCTCTTCAGTTAAGATCAATTTTTATCAAGGTTAGTATGCTATATTTGTCTTTTTAAGTTGACATAAAATATAATGAAAAGATACCAAGTCTGTATCATTAACAAGATTCAAAAATCATTTCTATTTTACTGTGTGTACAGTTGAAATTTTAAAAAATGTAATTACTAGAATAATAATCTCATAAGATTTTATACTTATTACCATTATTTCAAAGGAGGGCTGACAGCAAAATGGATTATAAGCTGGGCTGCTAAGTGCAAGGTCATCAGTTTGAATTTCCAGTCACCACTCAGGAGAAAGATGAGGCTTTCTACTCCCGTAAAGATTTCCTGGGCCATATAAATTGAAAAGAACTCAAAGGCACACAACCTCCCCTAACACCAGTATTGCATGATTACATAGAAAAGAACTAGGACATACATTATGGTGAAAAAGTTTAAGTGGAAGAATATTTCAGGCTAGTACCAATATTGAAGGCACTGACAAAGAACAAGGTTCTGGTAATTGATGGAATACAAATTGAAATCTTTCAATAAACTCATGCAACAATATAGGCACTCACTCATCTATGCCAAGAAATTTGAAAGACAATTACCTGGCCAAATGACTGGAAGAGATCCATATTTGTGCCCATTCCAAACAGGTGACTCAACAGAATGCGGAAATCATCAGGCAATATTGTTAATATCACATGGAAATAAAATTTTGCTAAAGATAATTTAAAACTGATTGCAACCATACATTGACAAAGAATTTCCAGAGGTTCAAGCTGGATTCAGAAGACGACATAGAATGAAGGATATCATTGTTGACTTCAGATGGATCTTGGCTGAAAGCAGAGATCTTTCTAGTAAGAAAGATGTTTACCTGTGCTTTATTGACTGCACAAAGGCTTTCAGTTTTGTGGATTATGACAAGCTCTGGACAGCATTGTAGAGAATGACTATTCCAGAACACTAAATTGTACTCACGAGAAACCTGTACGTAGACCAAGATGCAGTTGTTCAAACAGAACAAGGAAACACTAAATGGTTTAAAATTAGGAAAGGTACACGCCAGGGTTGTATTCTTTCATCAGACATATTCAGTTTGTATGCTGAACAAATAATCCAGGAAGCTTGATTATATGAAGAAAAACATGGCATCAGGATTGGATGCCATGGAAGACTCATTAACAGCCTGTGATAGTTAGATGGTACAACCTTGCTTTCTGAAAGCCAAGAGGACTTAAAAAATTTACTGATGAAGATCAAAGACCACAGCCTTCCATATGAGTTGCACCTCAATGTAAAGAAAACAAAAATCCTCACCACTGGAACAAAAGCTAAATATCATGATAAGGGGAAAAAGGATTGAAGTTGCCAAAGACTTCAGTTTGCTCAGATCAACTGTCAACACTCATATATTGCATTAGGCAAATCTGGTATACAAGACCTCTTTAAAGCGTTAACTAGTGAAGATGTCAGTTTTGAGGACTAAGGTGTGCCTGACCCAAGCCATGGTGTTTTTGTAACCTCATATGTATGTGAAAGTTGGACAGTGACTAAGGAAAACTGTAGAAGAATTGATGCATTTGAATTATGGTGTTGGAGGAGAATATTAAAAGTACCATGGACTGCCAAAAGAGCAAACATCTGTGTTGGAAGAAGTATAGCCAGAATGCTCCTTAGAAGCCATACTTTCAACATATTATCCAGAGGGACCAATTCCTCGAGAAAGGGTATCATGTTTGGTAAAGTGGAGAGTCAAAGAAAAAGAGGGAGACCTCCAGTGAGATAGATTGGCAAAGTGGCAGCAGCAGTGGACTCAAACAATTGTGGGGTTGGCATGGGACCGGGCAGTGTTTTGTTCTGTTGTGCATAATGTTACTGTGAGTCAGTACTGACTCGAAAGCAACTAATAACAACAACAACAAAAGCTAACCTCGAGATTGACAGTTCAAACTCAGCAGCCACTTTTTGGAAACACTGTATAGTGTCACTGTGATTGGAACTGATTTGACAGCACTTAACAACAGCACGCCACATGTAGTTGGGGAGCACAGTAGCTCTGTCACAATGTCAGCAAGCCGACCCACCTACTCCGTGGAAGAAACAGAAAGGGCTTCTTTTCCACAAACATTTACAACCTCGGAAACCCAACATAGGAAGAGTCAGAACCAACTCGATGGCATTTAACAACACTAGTTAGTTGTTTTACTTATAAAGTCAATAACATTAAAATTCAGTGTCTCAGTCACATTAGTCACATTTCAAATGCCTGATAGTACATTTGGCTAGTAGTCACCATAAAGGACATATTCCTCATCACCACAGTAATTCTCTTGGACAGCATGGTGCTAATGAATCTATCATCAGCTATTTCTATGTGTCTATTGCCTGTTTTCCCTTTCTCTCACCCTGGTCACATTGGCCTCCCTGTATTATTTCCACAAACCAAGCTCACTCCTGTCTCAGCACCTTTGCATTAATTTTTTGCTAGTATGCCTTCCCCCCAAATAGTCGACCATCCATTAGGTCTTGGCTCAAGTGTTTCCTCACCAGAAAAGCCTTCCCTTTTTATCTCTTATTCCTGCTTTCCTTTTCTTCACAGTTCACTACCACCTGACATGTCTCCCATTGATTGTCTGCCTCTCATAGAGAAGTATGCTTCTTTAGAGGCATGGTTGTTTCATTCCTTCTTAACTCCCTACTCTTAGTAGTATATGGAGAAGCTCTCAGAAAGTACTTGTTGAATAGATTACTCAGAATGATTAAGGTGCTATCTATCTGCTCAGGAGATCAGAAATAAGCAGTTTCAATGATATGATTCACTGCTTAATGCCTTTTTTTTTTAACTTTTAAAAAAAGTATTACATTTAAGAAATATGTGCAGATCTTCAGTACACAGTTTAATGAATTTTCACAAAGTAAATCTCTTAGCCTTCAGATCAAAAAAAATTTTTTTCTGGCATTCCAAGCCCTCGCCCACACCTTATCCCAGCAATTGCTTACTCACTCACTTAAAAGGAATCTGCAGGTTTGTGCCCTTTATGACCATCTTCTTTTATTCAGTATTGTTTGTGAGGTTCATCCATGTTGTGTGTGTCATTCAGTCTCAAATTTTGATTTTTTATCAGTCTTATTTTTATCAGTAGTTGCCTGTCATTTTCCACTTTCGTTAATGGCATCACATCCAAAATTTTACAGTGAATTGCTAGCATTTTTACATTGTGGTACATAGCTTTTGGTTTTAATTCTAACATCAGAGTATGTTGAATTAAGATTCAAGGCTTCTAAATGAAATTTTTGGTAAGTGAAAATAAAGAATTATGTTTAAAGTAATTGCAAATGTTTATTGAGCATTGATTCTTTACACCAGTCGTGTTCCAAGCACTTTATATTTTTTATTCTATTTAATCCTCACAACAATCCTATGAGATAGATAATACATTATCCTCATTTTACAAATGAGGAAACCAAGTACAAAACAGTTAAGCTGTTTACCTGAAATGTACAGTTCATAGAAAGTGGCACCAACATTCTAGTCCAGTTAGCTTGTCTCTCTCATCCACTGCACTATACGAGTTATACCTTTCCTTAACTGTATTTCAGATTATATTGAATTTCCTAAAGTGAGTTCTTCCAAATATTGTATCATCCACATTCTATATTCACTTGTTAACATCATGCCACACCTGCTTGGTATCTTTTTCTCTACACCTACACAGTTTCCTTCTATCAGACAATACAGAAGTAGACAAGTGACATGTCATTGTATTCTTGAGTACCTCGCCACTCGTATTTCAGTATCAGGGATATTTTCATTCACAAACATACCACCATTACCACCCTGAGAAATCAACATGTGATAAATTATTCAATAGTATCATTCATTCTAATTGAATCAACAAACAGTGTCCATGAAGCAGCAATCAAACAATGTATTGCATTGAGCAACTGCTGCAAAAGACTTTTAAAGCAAACATCTTTGATGTTGTGTACTTGACCCAAGCCATGATATTTTTTTGTCTCATAAGCATTTAAAAGCTGTAAAGTAAAAAAGGCATAACAAAGGAGAATTGTTATTGTTGAATTGTGGTATCAGTGAAGAATATACAATGCCGTTTTTCTTGTTAAGTGCCATCGAGTTGCTTCTGACTAATAGTAATGGCTGTATAGGGTTTCCAAGGAGCGACTGGTGAATTTGAACTGCAGATTTTGTGGTGCAAACCGCCAACCTTTCGATTTCAATTTGCTTAAGGAATCCATCTTGCTGGAAGTACAGTCAGACTGCTCTTTAGAAGCAAGGATAGCATGACTTCATGTCTACTTTGAACATGTTTAATCAAGAAAGACAATCACTAGAAAAGGACATGTTTTACAAAATATAAAGCATCAGAAAATGAGAGAAACCCTTCATGAGATTGTTGACATGGAGGATACTATAGTGACCTTTAATCATAAAGTGTGAGGTATATAAGGTCAGTTGGCAGCAAGCAATTAGCCAAGATATGCAAATTTTCCCAGTTGCCCCAAAATGTCCTTCATAGTTTGTTTCAAATCAGGATCCAGTCAAGGTTCACATGCATTTGTCTGCTATGTCTTTTTAATTGGTTCCCTTCAGTTTAGAGCCAATCTGCCTCCTCTTTCTTCTGTTCTTTACCATCTTGATTCCTTTGTGGACTCTGCTGCACTCAGTATTCATCTGATAGTTTCATGATCAGATTCAGGCCATAAATTTCTAGCAAGAGCATCTTATAGTTAACCATGTAGTTGTTTTTAAGTAATTATAGATTCCTTCTTAAGTAGTTGTTGTTGTTGTCAGGTGCCATCGAGTCAGAACCGACTCATAGCGACCCCATGCACAGCAGAATGAAACAGTGTCCAATCCTGGGCCAACCTCACTACCGCTGCCATACTTGACGCCATCAATGATGCCACCTGGCTGATCCATCTCAGTGGGGGTCTTCCTCTCTTTCTCTGACCCTCCACCTTACCCAGCATGACATCCTTCTCTAGCGACTGTTCCCTCCTGACAATATGTCCAA